AACCAAAAAGCAGCTCCGTACATTTTTTAACATTTTTATAAGAAAAATGTTGATTATTGAAGTGAAAAGTGTTAAAGAAGAAAGAATAAGGTGTAAAGATGAACTAGTGAATAGATGCTTGTGTTTTTAAATAGTTTATTTAGTGAAAAATAAGGCTGAAAAGTTGCCCTTTTCTGAACTTTGAAGGGCTGTAACTTTTTAAATAAGGGAGAGCGCCGCTTTTTTCTTTCGGATTCGTAATCTACGCATCAAAATACGTAAGTACAGTCAAAAATTTTTTCAAAATCGCCGGGTGTCCACATAACGAAAATTTACCCTTTTTTTGATTGTGGAACGTTATGAACCCAAAAAAACACTACAAGAAATTGTTATACCCTGTCTCACCTTTCGAAAATCTCAGTTATAATCTCCTCCGTCATATTCTCAGGCAGCCCCCCCACGAAAACGGTCCTGCAACCTGGGGGACGCTCCCGCGTCGTTGGCAGGGGGGCATTAGGATTAGGAGGAAATAACGTGCAGGATTTGCAATGGATAATCTCCTTGACCGGGTTCATCATCAGAGCAGGATCGGCAGGGATCATACTGGGGTCAGGAGCTAGCATCGGGGGAATCATGCCGTAGTTGTTCATTGGCAGCATGCTGGGGTCCATCAGCATGTTCATTCCCACCATGGGATAGCCCATACCTGGAAAGGAGTTGGTGGATTAGTGTATCATTGAGAACGGGTTTTGTTTTACTGTCTGTCCAAATGGGGTCGTAAAATATTTGCAGAGTCATTGAGCTGTTGGAAATTTTCTTTCTTCTATCTGACATGTTGTGAGGTAACTGTCATATTCGATTTGTTTGGCAGTTGTCAAACAACAATTGAAAGCTTGGCTTGAAAAACAATGCAGGCAACCTAATATAATAATAGTAATAGTTCAATTGATAATGAATAAAACACTGTGTCACTGAGCAAGAGTTTTTTTCAGTTTATTTCTGAATATATTGAGACTTCCTGAAG